CGAGTTGTCACTTATAATCAGCTGGACCGGCTGATTCACTACTTGACGTATCAAGCTAATGTAGGATTCTACAGTGAAAGACTTTGGTCTATGTGATCCTATGCTGACCAATGTGAGGTTAGTGTGTATACTGCAACCATGATGAAAGACGTATCAGATCTGATGGCGGTAATCTGCAGACTCCACCACTGCTCAGCTGTGCTACGATTGTCTCTAAGGGATGTTAAGTGTTGAGGAAGCTGGCTAAGGCATCTTCTGATGCTGTAAGTGGCATCCTTGTAGATTTGTCAATGGAGTATCATCATTGCCCCAGATATCCCAGCCAGGTCACATGATTGTGAACAGATCGTAAACAGATTGTGAACAGATCCTGAGCAACCACTAACAAAGAGCTCTAGCACTGATGGTTCTGTGAAGGATCATTTCAAAGAATTTGAAGCATTGTAGGTCTTTTGTCGTGACTCTCAGTAGGTCGAGTGAAAACATCCATTTTGGAATTGAACCGAAATATATAGACCATGATATTTTCATTCTCAAATGTATTCATTCAAGGATATATGATGCCTGAGAAACAAACTAATGTTTATTTGACATGTTGCTTTACAAAAAGGAACAAAAGGTAAAAAGTTTAAGAATGTTATTTAAGATAGAAATGAAAAAAGGATGTCAGTTTTGGGTAACATAAAAGCAATGATTGGAATGGGTTCTTGGGGTCAGGTATGAGGTCATTGTGGGCATAGGTCTGAGGGAGTGGGCCAGGGCAGGGGTGTTTATGAGGTCATGGATATGGTATAGGAAAGTGGGGGTGAGAGTAGGGGTTGGTATGAGGTTTGAGGAGGGTAGGGGCCGTGGTGAGTATAAGGTCATGGATGGGTATGAAGTCCTGGGTGGGTATGAAGTCCTGGGTAGATATGAGGTCATGGGCAGGAATGAGGACATGGATGGGTATGAAGCCCATGGTGGGTATGAGGTCATGGGTGGGAATGAGGTCAATGATGTGGGTATGAGGTCAAGGATGTGGGTATGAGGTAAAAGATGTGGAAATGAGGTCAGGATATGGAACTGAGGTCATGGATGTGGAAATGAGGTCAGGATGTGGGAATGAGGTCAGGATGTGGGAATGAGGTCAAGGACGTGGGAATTAGGTCAAGGATGAGGTATAGGATATAGGGTAACGGGGGTAGGGAGGATATGGGGTTTTCAGAGTGAGGCTAAATGGCATGAAACTAATTGTACAGAGTGGCGTAAAGTAATAAAACATAAGAAACATTGTCAAGCACTGGTGTATAAAGCAATCTCAGAATATAATGAACAAGTATAGCTTGTCCAAAGTAGACAGCAACTACCTGCCCAACAATGCTGGTTTGGTGCTGTGTAATGTGCAAGAAATGAAGCATAGTAATTTGAAAATAGCACAACACTACATCACATTACTTTCCATGGTGTGGAGGCAATCTGGCCAACTTTAGTGCTGAGTTATTGACCGATGTCGAACACTTGCCAAGTCTCAAGGTTCTGCCAACAGTACAAAGTCATAAAGCCTTGAATGTCAGACATTGGACATGCTGCCCTGAATCTCAGCATCGGCACCAGCCAACGGAGAAATTAAACCTCCCCTTGCTTCCATGATTTCATTTTCTACAACTATGCATCGCTGTCTTTCACAGACTGCAGATCGGTTTCAAATCAATATCGTTGAGGATTTAATATCAGAGCTCATAAAAAAATAATGTTCTGAAATTGTGACAATGTTGCCAATGTTATAAAAATATTATGGAATATTTCTTTAGGAGATAGATGCAAGTCTAAGATTCTCCCTGTAGAAACCATTGTGTATGTATGCCAAAGATAAATTTAATATCTTGTTCTATTATTAAAGTGCATGCATCCATAAGAAGGATTTCATTTCTGAATCAGGTCATTTCATAATCAGGTCACTTCTTAATCAGGTCAAGAGGTTCCGGTGAAGTTCAAATAAGTAGCAAGGCTCGTAACATAACCGCAGCTGAACATTTTCACAGTGTCGCCGTTTCACCAGGTTAAACCAACATCCGCGTTTTACAAGCGATCGAAGTGTACTTGCTTGGGGTGAAGAAATAATCAGATTTTTTTCTCCTTCAAAGAACACAGACATAACAACTCCCATGAGCCACAGACAGACACATCCGACCCCAACACATGCTGGTACATACGAAATCACCCAATACTTCTGTGACCTCGCTTCATTAGCAGCTGGAGCTGTGTGTGAAGACTTTGCCTTGTTGTAATCAAAATACTCCATATTGGCTTGCCAAGATTTCCTCTCAGATACATGGGGCAAAAACACAGTGCATTTTTTGTAAAAGTGATTCAGCCTTTGTGAAGGAAAAAAACAACGCATGTTTCTGTATCGTAAATATTATATATTTGGACCAAAACTTGTATTACCATGCCTTTGGTGAGCATAGTTCATATTTCTATTCTTAATATATAGTATGAACATAAAAGGAGGAGATTAATCACAATTTAAAAAACCTGTAAGTTATATTTTCATTCACTAAAGTAACTTTAGAAAACGTGTTGGAATACAGTGCCTGAGTGAACCGCCCTAATTATAATACAGTGACAAATAATTTGCAGCCAAACGTACTGGGAATATTACACAGCAGTTTCTTCAGCAAGAAGGCACTGCGTCGATGTATGGATCTTACAAAAAGTAGTTCCTGTAGGTGACCTAGCTCATTTTCGTATTTATCAGATCCTGAAACCAAGTTATCAGATTGGGTTAATCACATTGATAGCACTATACATTATAGGATAACATGTTATATCAAGGGAAAGAAAAACATGATGCACAATGGCAACTGCAATGTGAATTTTTTCTTTGTTTTTTTCCCCTTTATTGACATGCAATGTCATGTCATGTCAGTATAATCAGTAGGTCAAAAACTGAATTAATAGGTCAACATTTCAACAGCTTAAAATGGTTGTGGTGAATATTTATGCATGGTTCTGAATAATTTTAATATCCTTACTCCTTCATAATTCCTTTGAAATTAAGAAATGTCCATGTAATTCTGAAGCTAATCATGTCCTCGATGGGACTAATGCTTAAAGATGTGAGTGAGTGAGTGAGTATGGTTTTACGCCGCTTCTAGCAATATTCCAGCAATATCACGGCGGGGTACACCAGAAATGAGCTTCACAAATTGTACCCATGTCAGGAATCGAACCCAGGTCTTCGGCATGATGAGCCAACGCTTTAATCACTTGGCTACCTGACTGCCTGCTTAAAGATGTGAGCTTGTGTTGTATTGTTTTGTGTTCACAATGCAACTGTTGTGTGTCGAGTCATTAAATGACATATTGTTGGCCAGTTTATCGCCAGTATGAACTGATAAAACCGAAAAGCACACATTCAAAGCCAAATCATGAACTATACAACGTAATCACCACACACATGGAATCAGATCCCATTTTACAACAGACTGCATATGGCCCAAGGGCATGAGAGATCAAGGCTACATCTTTAAACTATGACATCACTGAACTGTAACCTCGTAGCATGACATCATTACTCTGTAACCTTGCACGACACCACTGTATGACACCATCAATTTAATGTCACAGTATTTTTAAAATTAAGGAAAATACGTAAAGGTTGATGACTTCATCTATTTTCTCACAGATGTTTACAGTAATGTAAACTGTTTTCTTACAGATGAACGTTTTTTGTTGTTAATATATTTCAAAAAGTTAAATGCTATTAATAATACATTTATGTACAATTGTTAGCATTAGTTCAGCCCTGCATAAGCCTCAACAGTTAAGTGTGCATTTGGCACAGTAGTTTACAAGTACCAATTCTGCAATAAAATGCACAATAACACCTTCCTTCTTATTTTGACAGATTAAAAAACAAAGCCTTTAGAAATATCTAGGTTAGAAAAATTGCATGCTCTTAATACTGATTAAATTGCTAAATTAACATACTGGTACATTTTGCATACAAAGTAATGGTGGCTTGTCAGTCAAACTGGGGTTCAACAAGCCAATGCTTACAAATCTCATGTTCGGGGAACTCAAATATGTCAAGCAAATATCAGGGACCAGACTTGCTCTCCCACGGAAATGAGTTCAGAAAACATATCTTGTTACCAGACCTAATGTCTGGCAATCTGAACACAGTTGATCCTCGAATGATCCGCTGAAAATGAAATCATGTTTCACAAGTTGGGACATGTTATTGACATGGTATGGCTTAATATATACCAGTGGGTATAGCTTGACATACAGCAAACGGTATTCATGATATCATTGCACCAAATGCATTGCGGATAAGCTCAGCCTATTGTGTTGTATATATACGCTTGGTGTCGGCTTCATTTTCAGACAAGAATACATTTGTACTCTTCACAAGGCCTTTTCATGCACAAAACAATATAAAATATTTATGCCATGTAACTATGTCATAACGAGTCAAAATGTCAAGGTTTCAACTTGGCGTCAACAGTTTCTCAACAAAATATCATATCTCTTCACAACGTGAAACAATTTGTTGACAAACTGTTGACAAGAAAATACTTCATAAGGGACATGACCTTGGATATGACCTTGGCCTTGTGTGTGTCAGGTAGAAGGTGATGTATGGCATTTTATTCTAATGACTTTATTCAAAACTGCACCAAAAAAGACATTTCATGAATAAAAAAACATTTTCAAATTTTGAAGTCTATTTTCTTTCAACAAATTCTGTTGACAAATTTCAATGATGACAAAAGTAGATATATTTAGGAAGGAAATTGACCATTTGATTTTTGATACAATTTTGTAATTGATCTTTATTTCATCTGACATTTTGTAAATTTTATTATTTATGTTTATTTTACCATCAACCCTGGTGTACAGGTAAAGAATCAAAGTGAACCATGTGATAAAATAACAAGGTCAATGACTGAACTAGTGTTTTCAGTTGAGAGGAGCTTGTTTTCAATGAATGTTAAATACATGTAAATGCCTACCTCCAAGCAGCCAGCACCAGCGCCGATATCGGCAAGTTCCAGAAGATCTGCCGTAAACTGGTCCGCCCATTCATGGACACTGAAAAATACAAGTAATTTTTTATAAACATCATAATGACAATTTATTTGATACTAATTAAAACTGACAGCACATCACTATAAATTAAACTGAATTCAGTGTTTCACCTTATTATCAACTTAATGTTTTAGTGTTTTACTCTTTGTGTGATTATTTTCAGTCAGATTCATTGCGAATCATTCACTGAAAATCTTTGCAACATAAACTACGAATACCAGTTTGAGTTTTCTTGCTAAAGTAAAAACTACATCGATATTCCAGGGAAGAATAAATCCGCAGCATCCCATCTTTCCTGTAGGACCTGGGGGATCCTTGGGATCCGACAGGTAGAATGCCTGACCTGACCTGACTAAGGCCATACTTTCAACATAGAGCTATGTTACTGTTAACTTGAAACCGAACTCGGAGTTTGAGGTTTCAAATGTTAAATTTAAAGCAGTTAAAGCTACAGGTAATCTGGCTCTACATAGAAAATATGGTGAAGATGAGGTGAGGTGAAATGGGGTTTAACATCGCGTCCAAGATTATTGCACTTATATAGCAACGTGCATGCACATGTGTGAGTGTGTGTGTGTGGCTGCTTGTACAAGTCCAGACAGATGCCGATTTGTAGTGCCAGCACACTGAGATACCATGCCACAGTTTAACATGAATATCCCACTCAGACACGGTATACTGACTCTGAGTCAACCAGTCCTTGTTTTAGCCCCTAAATGCCGAGCGTTAGGCAGGGTAACAACAAGTAGCACCTTTCAAAGTCTTTTGGTATGACGCGGCCGGGGATCGAACCCCGTACCTTGTGCTCTCTGGGCAGACGCTCTACCACTAGACCACGGAGGCGGTCTCAGTGAAGATGAAACGCCATGGGCTGAGTCCAATGTTTTGTGTGTTGTTGATTTGAATAAAGTATGTTGTTGCATATGCTCTATGGTAATTCTTTACTCAGATATATGACAGGCAAATGTATCCTGTAGCATACCGGTAGGTACTTCGTAAGCAAACATGAGATTGGCATCCCTTACAGAAAACTAAGTAAGCTTTGCAAGATGTGACTCATTGTAATGCAGTTGATATGACATCATTCTTGGATAAAGAAGAGTGCCAAATTTCAAGCTTTCTGTTGTCCCTAAATCCTGAAATACACTCCCTTTGTCAATATCTATCTGTTTTCTTCCAACAAACTCTGCAGTTTGTAGTGAGTATTGTTTTATGCCGCTTTCAGCAATATTCCAGCAATATCACAGCGGGGGACACCAGAAATGGGTTTCACACATTTTACCCAAGACGGGTATCGAACCTAGGTCTTCGCCATGACAAGTAAATGCTTCAACCACGAGGCTATCTGACCGCCTCTGCATTTTGTAACCTACAAGTGTATATACCATTATTTATAATACGTGTCGATACTGATTGAGAAAGATGTACTTTTGTATAAATTTCAGCTTCCATGATGATGTGGTTATCAAATAGCTGTTTCAATAAGAGGTGGTTATTGTGATTTGAAACCTCTGACTGACCAATCAGAATCAAGTATTTTCAAACTTCATTGTAGGATAGTTGTTGGATCATTGCTCACGCTGTCAACTACGCTGACATGGCTACTGCTGACTTGACATTTTATATCTGTCTAACATCATTTAACCTGCCAGAAAAAAGAAAGTATAAATTTGAAAAATAGATTTGATAAAAAAAATTACAAACATTATCAAAACATTAAAAGGCTTAAATGAGTGGCTGAAACACTGCGATTAAAAAAACACAACTATGATACCCCTATCAAACACAATACCATCAAATAACCATTACTTGTTGGTGTGATATTGAGCCACCATCAAATATGGGAACATACTTTCCATTGCTCGGCAGTTTACCGTTTGTTAATCTTTTGAAAATTATGGCATAAAACAACATTCATTTCAAACCACCTGATGAAGTTAGTGCAATAAGGGATGATTTTCAATGTGAAGTATACATGACATACGGCATTCCCATTGCATGAGAAGCCAGTCAAAAACCTTCAAAATGAACAACATCATGAGAATGTATTCTAAGAATCACATGAGCGCTATTGGACTTTTTCAACATTTTTAGGAACCTCTTGGAATTCCCTGGCATGAATACATACAGAACCAATAATGATCAGCTGGACACTTAATCTTTTACGCCAGGGTTTCTCCAAACATTGGAAGGTTTGGACTGAATGTCTGTGATAGAATATCGTTGCTCCGACCCATCCTTGTGAATATAGCAAACAAAATGATTCACTCAGAGCTTCACCCAGACTGACAGTCAACAGCATTCTGTAATTATCTATGAATTCACTTCAGTGCCCATTTGACATATCTTTAAAACCTTAAATATCACCTTTAAATGGTCGGCCAATTCAGCAATGATGACTGACACATACATATCGCCAGATGTTCAGTGACGGCACTCTGCCCCGTTTGGCGTCTAGCACTTGAAGTCAATGTACCATGAACGATTGTCACAGGACCTTCTTACTAAGATTGTTCACACCATCAGTTTCCCATCTTATGATGATGTATTAAAAATGCATTTTGTTCTCATCAAACACAAACCAAACTACAATAAAAGTTGCTAAAGGTCATGTTGGTTGGTTGGTTTGTTGTTGTACGCAACACTCTGCAATATTCCAGCTATATGATGGCGGTCTGTAAATAATCGAGTCTGGAAGAGACAATCCAGTGATTGATATCATGAGCATCAATCCATGCAATTGGGATCGATGACATGCTTCAACCAAGTCAGCGAGCCTGACTACCCAATCCCGCCTCTTAAGACAAGCATAGTCGTCTTTTACGGCCAGCATGGGTTGCTGAAGACCTATTCTACCCCGGATCTTCACGGGTCCTGAAGGTCATGTGAAGACATTTTTTTGCTCAATTCAGTCAGTTGTTATATGGATGTCAGTGTTGAAGGTCACACATACAAAATGTAAAACATGCTAAGCAACACCAAATAGTGATATAAAAAACCCGAAAAACTGTCTTTCACTCAGTGGCAGCTAACTGAGTTATGAACTTTTAGAGGGTGAGGGTCAAACACTCTTTGAACGTCATCACAAGCGCCAATGTTCATACAGTTTGTCCCTCACTGTCAAGGTACAAACTCACAGAAAATCTAACCTAATCTGACCAAATGACAGTTATTTACAACATTACATTTTCCCATCCTAAAGTTTTTAAAATTGTCTTTAAATAAAAGGATTACTCCAAGGAGCAATAAGACTTTTTCGGATTATTCAGGCATGGATTCAGACTTCTTTGATAGGCATATAGAAGTTGGAGTACTAAGTAAGGATAGGATTTATGGATGAACAACTTCTTTATTACAATTAAGAGTGTAAGTGTAGGTTCTACCACTTGATAATGGTGTTAGAGCCTGCAACAAAACATCGCTCTTAATTGTAAAAAAGAAGTTGTTCATCCATAAATCCTATCCTTTTCGGTGTAGGTTCTAATACCGTTATCAAGTGTTATCATCACTTGCTTGATAACAGTGTTAGAACCTACACCGAAATGTCGCTCTTAATTGTAATAAAGAAGTTGTTCATCCATAAATCCTATCCTTTTTGGTGTAGGTTCTAATACCGTTATCAAGCGTTATCATCACTTGCTTGATAACAGTGTTAGAACCTACACCGAAACGTCGTCTTATTTGTAATAAAGAAGTTGTTCCTCCATAACTCCTATCCTTACTTAGTACTTCTAAATGCCTGTCAAAGAAGTTATTCGTCGTCTTCATGAAGACATGGCCATCTCTCCCATCATGGATTCAGACATCAATAATCTAATATCACCTATCTACATCTATCAGAGTAAAACACATTACTCAGTCCGGTCACATCTTCCTTAAAACTAATTTCATATAAAAGCAATAAATATTCCTCTCAGTACTTCACCCATCTATTGATAACATTTCAAGGTCTTCAGTAACTTTCAAATTTGACATTTCGTAAAAGTTTATTTAACTTTCAAATTTGACATTTCCAGTGGGCCGAATAGAGGCCTTATCATACTTCATCCTCTTCAATGCTAATTAAATCTTTTTAGATTCATTTTAAAATGATACTGGAAGAAACATAATTCCCTCTGCTAAAAGAGTTATTATAGAGAGATGTAAGTTTAATAGAAACTGGCAATCATGGCACAATGATGAATCTGAAACGGACGTGCCTGTCTCTCTGGAGAACAACAGAATCTAGTTCTTATCATTATATCTGATATCGTGTCAGTCACGGATTGAGAACTCCTGTCAAAACTGAAATTAAAGACGCCTTTTTCAGAAATCAGTTAAAACTAATGCGCAATATGTCACAATATTGATTAAGCAGTATCAGCTTGCATTAAGACCCCATGTATATTAAAACTATACAGGATACTGGTTAAACAACTTTTAACAGGTACCCTTCGAACAGATGGTGAAATTCCTTAACACAAAATTCATACAATATATATACTTTTAATTATATGCTGTTACCGTAAACAGTCTTTCTTACTTAAATATTACATGTCAACAGACTGCCTCTGTGGTCTAGTAGATAGAGTGTCTGCCTGGAGAGCGGAAAGATGGGGGTTCGATCCTAAGCAGCAGCATACCAAAAGACAATAAGAGATGGTACTTCTATTTACCCTGCCGGCCTTGGCATTAAGGGGTCAAAACAAGGACTGGTTGGCCCGGAGTTAATATACTGTGTGTTAACAGCAGCATTAAACACAGCTCACTCACAATGGTTAAAATTAGACCAGACCAATGTTTTCCAAAACACAAATATTTGGCATATGAAGAAAATCCTTGTAAGATTTTGTATACGCTTTTCGATTTCTTTCCTAAATTTAATTGAAACTTAAAAAAACATATTCCTAAATAATTGCCAGGATTGTTTGGTTATTAATTTAAAATAAGTTTCGCTTTGTAACCGCTGTATGTCTCCTGGACACTCTTTGCCAACCTTCAGTTATCCTTTTGCACACAAATTA